CGCACAGAGACCCATAGACTTTGTTAAGTGGAAACCAATGCATCGAGTTGCATTGGTTTAACAGGCTCTACGTTGCTTATGAGAGTAGAGTAAGGAGAAACGAGATATATTAAGCGACTTTGCATGATTGTTACGACGCTTGTGGGGGGTGACGCTGCTGTTGTGTGATTGCGATTGAGTAATTCGCAAGCGCTTTTTCAGAATTGGGTTCTTTTGGTAAAACCAGTTACTGTGTGTGTGTGTGTGCTTGGCTATGGGAGGAAACTGGAGAGCCCAGAGGAAACCCACGCAGAACAGCGTGAGATCATACAAACTCCACTGTAGAACAGGGGGATATCATACAAACTCCACTCTGTAGAACAGGGCGAGATCATACAAACTCCACTCTGTAGAACAGGGGGAGATCATACAAACTCCACTCTGTAGAACAGGGGGAGATCATACAAACTCCACACTGTAGAACAGGGGGAGATCATACAAACTCCACTCTGTAGAACAGGGGGAGATCATACAAACTGCACTCTGTACAACAGGGGGAGATCATACAAACTCCACTGTAAAACAGGGGGAGCTCATACAAACTCCACTTTGTAGAACAGGGGGAGATCATACAAACTCCACTCTGTAGAACAGGGGGAGATCATACAAACTCCACTCTGTAGAACAGGGGGAGATCATACAAACTCCACTCTGTAGAACAGGGGGAGATCATACAAACTCCACTCTGTAGAACAGGGGGAGATCATTCAAACTCCACTGTAGAACAGGGGGAGATCATACAAACTCCACTCTGTAGAACAGGGGGAGATCATACAAACTCTACTCTGTAGAACGGGGGGTGATCATACAAACTCCACTCTGTAGAACAGGGGGAGATCATACAAACTCCACTGTAGAACAGGGGGAGATCATACCAACTCCACTCTGTAGAACAGGGGGAGATCATACAAACTCCACTGTAGAACAGGGGGATATCATACAAACTCCACTGTAGAACAGGGGGATATCATACAAACTCCACTCTGTAGAACAGAGGGAGATCATACAAACTCCACTCTGTAGAACAGGGGGAGATCATACAAACTCCACTGTAGAACAGGGGGATATCATACAAACTCCACTCTGTAGAACAGGAAGAGATCATACAAACTCCACTCACTCTGTAGAACAGCATGAGATCATACAAACTCCACTCTGTAGAACAGGGGAAGATCATACAAACTCCACTCCGTAGAACAGCGTGAGATCATACAAACTCCACTCTGTAGTACTGGGGGTGATCATACAAAACTCCACTCTGTAGTATCGGGGGAGATCATCCAAATTCCACTCGCTCTGTAGAACAGAGGGAGAACATACAAACTCCACTCACTCTGTAAAACAGGGGGAGAACATGCATTCCCCACCCATTCTATAGATCGGGGGGAGATCATACAATCTCCGCTCACGCTCACTCCGTAGCACAAGGGGAGGTGAAACATTTCGAACAGGATATGCGCCCGAGTCGGGAATCTTGGGACCCAGGCTCCAAGTTGCGGTGGGGCACAAGCGCCGCCACCGCCCTACGTTTATTGCGCGCGCCCGTGACTAATCCGTTCCGTGGCGTGCCGCGGTAGTTCTTCGCAAACGGGCACGTTGTTGTTGTCCGTAAACACGGTCGCTATTTTAAGGCGGTGAGCAGCCCTGCGTTGCGTTGGCGCGAGGGGTGTCGAGGGGTGTCGAGGGGTGGTGGGAGAGGTTGGAGCCACCGTGATGGCTTTCAAGTCTGGACCAGCAACTGGCACCGGAAGACCGAATTGAAACTCGCCTAGCACAAAAAACCAGCTGGGATGCCTGTGGTTTTTGCGATTTGAGAGAAGGGGTTTTGGCGCAATTTTTATTGGTTGATTTTCATTGTGTAGAGAAGTGTACTAAACATTTTTTATTTTCAATAGATTATGTATTTTTTTAGACTTTCTTTGGTTGTCAGATACTCTGGAAAGTAGATGCACCCGCAACTGCTGCCCCCCCTGGTATCAATAAAGTTATTTAGACCTGGTCTCGCAAAGACAAAGATCCCCCGTGTATAGCCTTTACAGGCTTTTTTGGTCAAGTGCTGCTAGCGAGCACTGTCCCTCGCGGCACGCAAGGCGGTGGGCCAGCGCCAGGCGCGGCCCCATTTGTCTCCCCAGTGGTGATATGTACATCTTGCACCAGGTACTCATTTGATGCGGAGTCGACCTCGTGGAAGGCCAGGACCTGTCCAGATAATTGTCACCGGCGTTTGGTGGCTGTGAGCAGGAGTAGAACGTGGGTCGACAGGCTCGCAATGTCTCTGCACTACACACATAATACAAAAAAATCCCCATTATAGCCTTTAGCACTAATAACACACAAACACACACAAGCGCACTTCCTCCTACAAGTAAAAAAATAAACCGCACAATGTATTGGTGAAAACATCCCAATGTGGAAAAATTACTTAAAAAATTACTCGATTAACATTAACCAAAGTCGCCCGCTCCTGCAAATAGTTTGGCAGTACCCTCCCGAAGTGGCCCTGGGGCGCTGGGTGAGACTCTTTAAGGGGCAGACAAGCGCGTTGTGAGTTGAAGCGATGTGGGCACGTTTCCTAAATCCCCTCTCCACCTCCGTCCACCCAGCGATATCTATTGGCTGCACCGCAGTTGATCGGCAGGCCCGCGAGCAGTGGGGTAAAGTGTGTGTACGCCCGGCCACTTCCAACGCATCTGGTCAACGCGAAAAAGTAGAAAAAGTACCCTCGAGTTCGCTGTAGAGGAACCCCCATATCCGTGTATAAATTGATGTATCGTGTTTCACTCAAGACGACAAATACGAAATTGCTGATGGAGGCTGACCTGATACAGTGGACTAACAGATGGCAGTGCAGTCTTGATTCCTTGCCCCGCACTTCCAATTATCACGGTTGGCTGCGTACGGCGCGAAAGAAGTTCAACCTACACACTTAGAGTGGACTGGCAGCAGCGCACTGTGAATCCCTGTAAAAACCGATCGTAGACGAGACGTGTCTCTAAGTGGTCCTTGGAACAATAGACACAGACCGATGTATCTATTGTCTTGGTTGCGGCTCCCCCCATAATTCCATGCGTGACCTCTGTCTTGGTCACATTCCACTTTGTTGGCAAAACAAACAGACTTCAAAGGCGCTTTCAAACCACGTCGTCGGCGCAGCGTTGGTGGTGGTTACGGCGCTCCGTCTGCGATGGGTGGCCCGGCGCTACTGCAGGTGTCAGCGGTGTGCCTCAAACTTTGGACTCGTCATCGCCGTGTCGGGGAAGCGGTGGCCGGAATGTGGCGGTGACGTTCTCCGGCGGTTTAGCGCGGTGCCTGCTTGTTCGGCAGAGTTTCGCGGTTCGTGCCCGTTCAGGATGTTGAACCACTCGCCCGGTATGCAGGAGGGCGTGGGTTCGATCCAGACCCTGACGCCTGCTGTATATTTGGAGTTTGCGTATTCTGCCGGTGGACGTGTGGATTTTTTTTCAAGGTCCTCCGTTTTTTTTTGCTCCATTTAGAATCAACATCGCACATTTAAGAGTATTTCTCTTCTTTAAATTTCCACTTGATACGCCACTTGGTTGAGCTATCATTTGCGATAGCCAGGTTACTTCTGGCAAAGAGCTACACAGCTCTATGGGGCCTTACCTGGTAAAATATATTTTTTTAAATACCGAGGCTTGTGAATTAACCTTGAAAATATGACATCTGCAATGTGCTGCCCGCTTATTTATTATAATTAGTATTCCTATGCCTGTTTACACCAGGAAAGCCTCATAACTTTTCCGTGCCCGTCCTGCCAAAGTATTTCTGTTGCGGTAAAGGGGTGACGACGATGATTGGCGTGTGGAACCCTTGTTGTGTAACCCTCATTGTGTCACTTGTGGCGTAGCGCGAGTGACGTTTGCGCGCCATGCTTCATCGTGAACCTTCAGAGATTCCCCTCCCCCTGCCCCCCCTCCCCCCTCCCGATGCCCCAACTCCACCCCACCAGCGTTATGTGAAATGTGCCGGACGTTGTGTTCTGACGTCACGGGACAATTTTTTCCCCCTGTTCAAAAAACAACGTCGCAGATTTCTCAATCATCATTGCCCAGCAACATCGTCACCCCCTCCCGAACGGCAGACTCGCGCCCGGTTTGCAGGCCACAGGTGCTGCCGATTCGCATTGTGCCTCATAGGGAAGCCTGACACTACCCCCTATGCTAGATGCAACATAGCAGCAGTCATCACCCCCTACTGTCAGACTGATGCCCGATTGCATGCCGAGTGCTGATTCGCATCGTGACGCATAGAAACAGCTGCTGCCGGGGGTGCACTGCTAGACACCTAATAGCAGGAGTCATCGTGCCCTACCGGCAGACTGTCTGTTTGCAGGACGGAACCGTGTGCCGTGCAGGGACAGCTGCCGCCGGGGGTGCCCCCTTGCGCGTTGCTCGTTGTGTGTGAAGCGCTTCGAGGTGCCGCCCCGGCGGAAAGGAGGACGGCTCTGTCGGCTCCACCAAACCCAACTCATTGGGTCCCAACCACCTGGCGTCTGCCACCGTGATTGAGCGAGCGAGCGGGTGGGCGGGTGGGCGAGTGAGTGGTTAATTGGTGGGTGGGAGTGTGAAAAAACGTGGGTGAGTCGTTAATGGGTGAGTGAATTGGGTGAGCTGCAGCGCGGTGGTTTAAACACTGCATGACACGAAACAGTCGGTGTCTGTTGGGACCGAGTCTACAACGCAGGCAGAAGAATCGACGGGTGAAGTTCACGGGAGCATTAACCACGGCAGTGGTAGCAGCGATAGAAGAGTGGCAAGGAAGCGAACTGCCAGCGAGTGAGTGGAGTAAATCGGTGGGTGCTGGATCACCAATCGCCATGACTACTGCTTCACCCCCAATCCTGTTGGGTGCACAGACTGTGTGGGTGTGCCACCCCAGGTGTGACGGCAGCAGGATTACAACTTGACTCATGGCGTGTTTGTCTTTCTCTCTTTTGTCAGAATCGTGAGCTTCAGATCATGAGGAAGTTGGAACACTGCAACATTGTGCGTCTGCGATTTTTCTACTACTCGAGTGGGGAAAAGGTAATTGCCGAAACCGCTGCCTGCACACACAAGGATCACCCGTGTAACCTTGAACACTGCCGGGACTGGCGGTGTTTGTGAGCACAAGAGGAGTGCGAGTGGCCAACCACGCCCAGCCTAATCGCCTTTGTCTCCCCAATGCCGATGCTTTATAGCACATCGCAGCAGGTACTCGCGTAAGGGTGAGTTAACCTCGGGGAGGCCCCGCGGTGACCAGCTCGGATAGTCACCGCTGTTATTGGCCGTGAGCGGCAATGGAACTCGGGGTCGCCGGATTCGCTGCGCGGCGCTTTAACCGCTGTGCCACCGCCCCCCATAACCGCCGCCAGCACGGCACGCCCGTGAGCTCACGAAGACGACCGCGCTAATCATGATCACAGCCCCGCAGAGCCGTTAGTGGGAATTCCACATTCCTATGGCGGGGGTGAGTCTTTTCCATAGGACAACCGCTGTTGACTTCCTGATAGTGGTGCTCGTGTGACTTGAAGTGCGGGTCTGTGGAGGCGATGCACGGTGTGGTCCATGTCTGCGTTTTTTTTTAGTTTGGTCGACGGTGGTGGTTGTTTTATGCCAAACATCCTTGTCCTCCAACCCCCTCCACCACCCAACAAGATTGTCATGCTTGCACAGATAATAAGAATATTGTTGTTATTTACACGTGGACAATATTTCTGAACACATTTTGTCCCGGTAAAACTGCTCCACCCGCGCCCGTCTCTCGAGACTTCTCACCACCGAGTTCATCGGTCGACCGCTCGGTACGCGTTACGTAGTTTCCTTTAACCTGGAAGGATACGAGTTAAAATCCTGGTTGGGTGGGTTGACTCCACTGGACCATCTAAGAAGTTCTTAGCTCATCGGATTCCTCCGGGGGTATATAAAGATTCCGAGACTCTTGATTCCGACTCGGGGCCCCCGTCGTCCGTCCGGTGGTGCCGATAAAACGCCTCGCCGCTTTGGGGAAGTCGACAGCGGTTTGTCTTGTGGATGGTTTGCCGCCGTTCTAGGAATGTCGAATTCCCACCACTGACTCTGCAGGGGTGCAGCTGGGAACCGAGCACCAATGGCTCTGTGCGACGTTCTGCTCGTTGTGTTTGTTTGCGATGTTGTTATGCTCCCCCCCCCCCCCCCCCCCCCGTAGAAGGATGAGGTCTACCTAAACTTGGTGCTGGACTTTGTTCCCGAAACTGTTTACCGAGTCTCTCGTCACTACAGCAAGGCCAAGCAGACCATTCCCATCATCTACGTCAAGGTACGGGCCCACACCGTTGACTTGCTGTTGTCAATTCTACCCAACCCCCCCTCTCCCACGACAACCGTGCTGAAGCCGAGAACACGACGTTGTGCCGAGAACACGACGTTGTGCCGAGAACACGACGTTGTGCCGAGAACACGACGTTGTGCCGAGAACACACACGTTGTACCGAGAACACGACGTTGTGCCAAGAACACGACGTTGTATCGAGAACACACACGTTGTGCCGAGAACACGACGTTGTGCCGAGAACACACACGTTGTGCCGAGAACACGACGTTGTGCCGAGAACATGACGTTGTGCCGAGAACACACACGTTGTGCCGAGAACACGACGTTGTGCCGAGAACACGACGTTGTGCCGAGAACACACACGTTGTGCCGAGAACACACACGGTGTGCCGAGAACACGACGTTGTGCCGAGAACACACACGTTGTGCCGAGAACACACACGTTGTGCCGAGAACACGACGTTGTGCCGAGAACACGACGTTGTGCCGAGAACACGACGTTGTGCCGAGAACACACACGTTGTGCCGAGAACATGACGTTGTGCCGAGAATACACACGTTGTGCCGAGAACACACACGTAGAACACGATGTTGTGCCGAGAACACACACGTTGTGCCGAGAACACGACGTTGTGCCGAGAACACGACGTTGTGCCGAGAACACGACGTTGTGCCGAGAACACGACGTTGTGCCGAGAACACGACGTTGTGCCGAGAACACACACGTTGTGCCGATTGTGCTCTCGGCCGTGTGTATCGAATGGTCATGGTTAACACTCGTAAAGATCATCCACTGTGAAGCGAGTGTTCGGATAACCTACGCGGTATAAGATAGAAGCCTGATATTTTAGGTGCTGCTGCTGCTGATGCCTCTGCGTTGGCAGCTGTGCACAAATGACAAAAAAAGCACTCGACCCGTTTGTCAGTAGCACGGAGAGAAAATAGAGATACAATAATAAGTGATGATGAATCTCGGTTCGCGTTACCACGTAGCGTTGAGTTGTGTGCAGGTTCAGGGGGTTTCGGTGCCAATGCTCGGTCGGTGGGGTTGGGTGGTGGGGGCCCCGGGCGGGCAGGGTGGACGGAGTGTACGGGTCTGCCGCCATATTATTATAACCACGGACAAAGCGGAGCGCGTATATATTTAGTGGAGGCTGTTGGAAACCGATTTTATCGTTTCGTAGATTCATGGGAGTGGGAGACCTAGAAAGAGTCTGGGGCCGTTTGTATCGTTCCTCGGACTAATCGGTTTCATTTGCCCGAGTGTTTCATGCGTGGACTTTCACAACCAATGTGATTCAAAATTGGTTTCTTTTGGGGGTGGGTTGTGTAAATAAAACGTGCAGTCGTAAACCGTCTCTCCGACGGCGCAGCCGGTTCATAAAAGTGTCACGTGAAGCAAGCGAGTCTACCTTGTTATCGCTTCGGCAGCAGCGCCAACCCCAGGTGTTGTTGATGTTGGAGAGCAACCTCGCGACATTTAAACGGGTTACTTGACGTTTGGCCGGAGATGGCAACGGGCAATCGTCGGGGGTGTAAAACGGGAGCTCGCTTCTCACTAGTTCCACCACCGGCTTGGTGTGCGCCTACAGTTGTTTGGTTTGTCTGTCGTGATGGCGGTCATGCTAGCTGGGGAATCGCCTGGACAATCCGCGCACGGATCATTGAGAATCGCCTCTTGTGGTCGACAGCTTTCTCATCTCTCATGTCTCTCTTTCCCTCCTCTCCGATTTAGCACGGTTTGCTACGTACGGTGCGGAAGACGTTCAACATACATACGTACATCTCGCCATTCTCTATCGCTTGCCTATCGCTTTCTCATCTCTTGCCTGTCTCTCGTCTCACTACTCCAGCTCCAGTGTTTTATAATTGTCATGGTCCACATCTGGTCACCAGATGAATATTCCTGATCTCGAGAAATATGTGAAAGTGGACCACTGTTCACTCTCACTGATGTGATATTCATGGCAATGCACCACCGAGTAGGGTCATAAACGTTGACCTGTCTTTTGTCCGAGTGTGCCTGTGGTATCTGTGTGTGTCTGTGTGTGCCTGTGTGTGTATGGTGTCTGTGTGTGTCTGGTGTCCGTGTGTGCCTGTGTGTGTGTGGTGTATCTGTGTGTGCCTGTGGTATCTATGTTTATGGTGCCCGTGTGCCTGTGGTATCTGTGTGTTTATGGTGTCTGTGTGTCTGTGGTGTGTCTGTGTTTATGTTGTCTGTGTGTGTGCGGCGTGTCTGTGTGTGCCTGTGGTATCTATGTATCTTTGTGTGCCTGTGGTGTCTTACATGTGTCTGTGGTGTCTGTGTGTGGTGTCTTTTGTGTGTCTGGTGTGTATGTGGTGTCTTTATGTGTGTCTGGTGTGTATGTGGTGTCTTATGTGTGTCTGTGGTGTCTGTGTGTCTTTGTGAATATCTGGAGCGGTGTTGGGCCCTCCCCTAGCCCATCTTTCAGTCTTAAATGAGTGTACCTGGTGCGGTGTGTATACATCAACGCTGGGGAGACAAAGGCAGCCGAGCACGGTTGCCAATCGCAACCACCCCTTTCGTGCGCCGTGCCATCCCATGATAGGTGCTCGCCTAACAGCACGATGTCGCGCAACAGTCTAGTGAAAGCCTATATGGGTGTGTGGGATTGTTTGTCTCGATCACAGTTGTACATGTATCAACTCTTCCGGAGTCTGGCTTACATCCACTCGCACGGGATCTGCCACCGCGACATCAAACCCCAGAACCTCCTGCTCGACCCGGAGACGGCCGTGCTGAAGCTCTGCGACTTTGGCAGGTGAGACGCGAGCTCGACGGTGACGACGACGACAACCGCCTCCGCCACCAAGTGCCGGTGACGTTACCACGGAGCGAACGGTGCTTGCGCCAGGTTGGGTGAACCTCGAGGCATCCACTCGAGCGAGCGCGCGCGCGAGTGAGTGAGTGAGCGCGCGAGTGAGTGAGCGCGTGAGTGAGCACGTGAGTGAGCGCGTGAGTGAGTTAGCGCGCGAGTGAGTGAGTGAGGGAGCGAGTGAGCGAGGGAGCGCGCGAGTGAGCGAGCGCGCGAGCGGGTGCGCGCGCGAGCGGGCGCGCGAGTGAGTGAGTGGGCGCGCGAGTGAGTGAGTGGGCGCGCGAGTGAGTGAGTGGGCGCGCGAGTGAGTGAGTGGGCGCGCGAGTGAGTGAGTGGGCACTCGAGTGAGTGAGTGAGCGCTCGAGTGAGCGCTCGAGTGAGTGAGTGAGCGCTCGAGTGAGTGAGTGAGCGCTCGAGTGAGTGGGCGAGTGAGTGGGCGCGCGGGCGGGCGGGCGCGCGGGCGTGCGGGCGGGCGGGCGAGCGGGCGGGCGAGTGAGTGAGTGAGCAAGCGCGCCGATGTTGTGCCAGCGCGCCGATGGTGAGGGTCGCCGCGTCTCCCTGTGCCCGCATGTGCCAGTGCCAAGCAGCTGATCCGCGGGGAGCCCAACGTGTCGTACATCTGCTCGCGTTACTACCGCGCGCCCGAGCTCATCTTCGGCGCCACCGACTACACGTCCAGCATCGGCACGTGCACATCTCGCTCTGATACTCAATCTGCAGCTCACTCTGATACTCTACTGCCAACACACTCAGCTACTCACTCTACAGCTCACTCAGTAATTAATTCTGATACTCACTCTACAGCTCGCTCGGCTACTCGGTCGACTGCTCTCTGACACTCGCTCTACTACCCGCTTAGCCACTCGCTAAACAGCTCATTTGGCTACTCTACTACTCGCGTAGCCACTCACTACAGCTCACTCAGCAACTTACTCTGTTACTGACTCCGCTACTCACCCAACTACTCAATCAGCAGCTCGCTCGACTACTCACGCGGCTACTCAACAGTTCCACTCCCCACTCCGCCGTTTGCTCTTCTCATCCACTCGCTGTGCCACTCCGCACTCTCCGCTGTCACTCGGCTCTGTGGTGCCTTGCCTGTAACGTGGCGGCCGTGCCGTCCCCCACCCCCCGGGTCTCCAGACGTGTGGTCGGCAGGCTGCGTCCTCGCCGAGCTGCTGCTGGGACAGCCCATCTTCCCCGGGGACAGCGGAGTCGACCAGCTCGTGGAGATCATCAAGGTAATCTGGGCTGAGCTCACCTGGGTTCGATCCCTGTCACAGGCAGCCAACGCTCCGTCGCTTTGTACTCTTTTTGTTTTCGCCGGCTCGTCCGAGCCGTGCCAGCACGGCGCCGGCATGGCATGGGTGGTTTTTTTTCCCTCTGGCATTTTACCAAGTCGTGCCGGAAGTGCATTCTCATTAAGACTGTTCTTGACAATTTTCAGTTTATTTATTTTGGTATAGCCCTGTGAGCCATTCGGCTCTTGAATTGGGTGCAACCACAACAAACAAAAAAAACACGAACAAGAAAACATCTTAAAGTGACTATGTGACTGTGCAAACAGAAATCCATGAAAAAAACAGCAAAATATTCCTGAAAAAAGTACCATACACCAACGCTGTGTGCAAAAAATCCCAGTGGGATGCAAGTCAAACAACAACAACAACCACAAGAAAACTTAGATTAAGGCCATCAGTCTAACTCCGTACTACAACAAAACAAACATGTCCAAACCAAAAAACTTTTCGAAAATCACCAAAAAATAAAACTATAATTGCAACGTAACAGTGATCATAGGGACTGTGGCCGAATTTTTACAATAAACTACATAAATAACATGTAACACCAAACCCTAGAGCCATAGCTGGCTGCATGAGTTACTCCACAACAACAGAAGCATCAGTCGGAGTATAAAATTTTTCAATGCACCTTTAAGATTAGCACGCTAAATCAAAATACAGATAATACTTTGCAGCATCATCCGGAGCGAAACATTTTATTTTATTTTACGCCAATGAATAGCAGTGGCAGCTAGGGGTTTACAACTCCTCTAGAGCAGTTTTGAGAGAAGATATCATTGGTAGTGATTCAAGTTGCGGTTTATTGGCAATAGCATTCCAGACCCTGGGGGCATCAATAGCAAAGGCCCTTCAGTTTTTGTACGGCAATAGGGAATGTGAAGCTGGTAAATGAGCGAAGACCTGAGGTCAAATTTGTTCTTTGAAACAGAGAGGAGATCCAGCAGGTAGTCTACGGATTTTTTTGTAAGTACATCGTGAATAAATAAGATCTGGTGCACAAGCCGTCGAACATTAAGAGATGTTAAGTTTGACCCAATGTAGAGATCACAGTGGTGAGTCCTATATGGGCAGTTCAATGTAAATCTTAAGGCCGAGTGATAGTTGGAATCAAGCTTCTTCAGTACAGTACTTGGGGCTGATTTATACACGATGTCACAGTAGTCAAGTAGAGGCAGTATGGTAGCTTTTATCAATTCCAAACGGAACATTGGGGGGTAGCAGTGCTTGTGTCGATACAGAAAACCAATTTTCCTTTTTGTCTTTTTACCAATATAATCAATGTCATCTTCAAAATTCAGTTTTGAATCCAGGATGACCCCAAGATACTTATAGATCTTGACTTGCTCTATTTGATAATTATTTAAGGAATGTAATTGGGGAAAAATAACTTCCTGCTTTAGTCCTGGTGAGAAGCATAACACCTTGGTTTTGGAGGTATTCAGGACTAGTTTTAAGAGCAACCAGCTGATGTTGTAGTTTGTTCAAATCACCCTGGAGCTTAGCAATCATGTTATCCGGAGAGCGGCCAGCAATAATCAGTATCGTGTCATCTGCAAACAGATTTACCTTGGAGTGATCCAGGTCAGTGCCCAAGTCATTGACGTAAAGAGAGAACAAGAGGGGGCCGAGGATGGAACCCTGTGGAACCCCTTTTGTTATCTCAACACTGTTTGACCTCCAACCATCTGTGAATACAGTTTGGGTGCGAGAAAAGAGGTAATTTTGTAACCATTTAACTGCGTTTTCGGAAAAACCGAGGTAACTTAGTTTACTAAGCAGGGTGTTGTGGTCTACTGTATCAAAAGCTTTGGACAGGTCAAGAAAAAGACAGGCACAGTGTTGCTTATTATCAAGGCTACTGTAAATGTGGTTCAGAGAGTCTAATGCAGCAGATGTGGTGCTGTATTTTTTTCGGAACTCAGATTGTTTTAGATGTTGTAGATTGTTGGTGAACAGGAAACTGCTAATTTGGTAGGTCAATAATTTTCCAAAAATTTTCATCAACGGGGACAAAATTGAGATCGGTCGGTAGCTATTTGGATCATCTTTAGGGCCCCCTTTGTGAAGTGGACGGACATAGGAATGTTTCCATTCTAGTGGAACTGATGCTTCTTTGATGGACAGGTTGAAAATATGGGATATAGGTTTGTATATTAGGTGACCAACAGTTAGTAGAGCAAAGACGGGAATACTATTTGCTCCGGTGGAGGAGGACCATTTGAGGTAGGGCAGTTGTTTCAGAACATTACTTTCGTGGATTGGCTGGAAACTAAATTCGTTTAATGTTTGGACAGGGGTGTAGGAATTTGCATGAGCAGGGTTGACTCCCAATACATTATCAAAAAGATTACCAGCTTCAGAAAAATTAAGGTTAAGATTGTCAACAATTTTTTTGGGATCTGAAAAATATTCCCCATTTCGGTTAAGCTCAATGGGCAGATTATCTGTTTTGGATGCCTTTAAGATACATTTGATTTCCAGAAAATCCTGGCATTTCCATGTGTGTGGTTCCAGGAGAGTGGAGGAAAAGTAGGCATTTTTTGCATGCCATATTTTTTTGATGCATCTATTCCTTAAGATCCTGTATTCTAGCCAGTCATTGACCAAATTGTTTTTCTGAGCACATGCCCAAGCCTTGTCCCTAGTTTTCATGAGCTTTGTAATCAAAGGATCAAACCATGGTGGGCAGTCGCCTTTAGTTTTAAATCTAACCAATGGAGCATGTTTGTTAAGAATTTGGAGAAACGTGGACCTGAAGGTCTCCCAAGCCGTAGTCAGGTTGGGGATATCACAGACCTTGTCAATATCCGAGTGCAGCAAATCATTTGTAAATGCCTGAGTGCTGAAGTGTCTCATAGAGTGCTTCTCAACCAATTTAGGGGGGGCTTTGGGTCTGGCTGATGATCTCACCCCAAAAATGAAGGAGTGATCACTAAGGTTATTACGCAGAACACCAGTCAGTGCGAAATTGTGAGGGGCATTTGTCAATAGGACGTCAAGCAGAGATGACTGTCCCGGATTTTTTAGGTTGGGTCTTGTGGGGACATTTATTAATTGAAACAGATTAAATTCATCTGCAAAATTTGTGGCCACGGCCGGCGGGTTGAGCCAATTCCAATTTAGATCACCCACTAAAACTATTTCACCTTTAAGGAGGCCCCCAAAAAGCTCTCTCAGTGCAGATGCAGCTTCAACATCCTTCCCACTGGGCGGTCGATAGCAGCACACTACCAATATCTGTTGATTATTTGGGAGAGTTATTCTGAGAGCCAGACCTTCAAAGCAACATTTTTTAAACAAGACAAATGTGAGATGAAAAAAAATCCTAAACGCTGTGTCCTTTAAAAGGAAAAATCGATACTGCGTGAATAAATCCGCTTAACGGCGCGTTTTAATTTTCAAAGCTTTCCAAATAAGGTGAAAGCATGATCATGCATGAGCTCCATCTTCAGCGTGGAGTCGCAGTAACTTGGTTAGAATTAATCTGATTTGAGAACAACTCTCGTGTGGAATTGTGGCTTTTAGGAACTCGCCGTGAGAAAACTGGGACCCACACTCTCCCGATCATCCACTCACCCATTCACTCACTGGCCCATCCTGTCACTCATCTACACACCCACGACCCACTCATCTACTTTGTCCGTCTGCGTGTAACGTGGGGTCGCGGTAACTCGTGTTGAGGTTGATACGATGCGAGCGAGACTACGGTGTGGGCGTTGCTGTGAGGGAATCCACGCTAGAGGAACCTGACCTCGTCCATGAACAAACAAAAAACTAAAACGGCGCTAAAGTCACCCGCATTGCCCTCTCCGGCAGAGCCCGCGGCATGGGCCCTGTGGCATTACAGCAGACGCCGCCGTTGTTACGTACAAACGCTGAACCTATTTCGCAGCGTACATGACCGACCGCACTAATTGGAGGCGTTGGGGAAGTGAAACGCAAGAAGCTGTTGTTTTTTTTCCGTCGGTCTGGACGGGTGTGCGTCGTCACCAGGTTGCTGGATCCACGTGCCGCGCTCACGATCCCTCTCCCCCGGTGGCGCTCGCTGTGCGTGTGTGCGTGCGCTCGTGTACGCAGGTGCTGGGGACGCCCACAAGAGAACAGATCCGCGAGATGAACCCCAACTACACAGAGTTCAAGTTCCCCCAAATCAAAGCTCACCCATGGACCAAGGTGACCTCCACTCCTCCGAACCCGGTCTCCGTCGCTCACACGCTCTTCCTGTCTCTCTCCTTCTAGACTCCCCTCTCTCTTACTGTCTTCCTGTCTCTCTCCCTCTACACTCCCCTCTCTCTCACTGTCCTCCTGTCTCTCTCCCTCTACACTCCCCTCTCTCTCACTGTCCTCCTGTCTCTCTCCCTCTACACACCCCTCTCTCTCACTATCCTCCTGTCTCTCTCCCTCTACACTCCCCTCTCTCTCACTCTCTTCCTGTCTCTCCCCACCTCTACACTCCCCTCTCTCTCACTGTCCTCCTGTCTCTCTCCCTCTACACACCACTCTCTCTCACTGTCCTGTCTCTCTCCCTCTACACTCCCCTCTCTCTCACTCTCTTCCTGTCTCTCCCCACCTCTACACTCCCCTCTCTCTCACTGTCCTCCTGTCTCTCTCCCTCTACACTCCCCTCTCTCTCACTCTCTTCCTGTCTCTCCCCACCTCTACACTCCCCTCTCTCTCACTGTCCTCCTGTCTCTCTCCCTCTACACACCCCTCTCTCTCACTATCCTCCTGTCTCTCTCCCTCTACACTCCCCTCTCTCTCACTCTCTTCCTGTCTCTCCCCACCTCTACACTCCCCTCTCTCTCACTGTCCTCCTGTCTCTCTCCCTCTACACTCCCCTCTCTCTCACTGTCCTCCTGTCTCTCTCCCTCTACACTCCCCTCTCTCTCACTCTCTTCCTGTCTCTCCCCACCTCTACACTCCCCTCTCTCTCACTGTCCTCCTGTCTCTCTCCCTCTACACTCCCCTCTCTCTCACTGTCCTCCTGTCTCTCTCCCTCTACACTCCCCTCTCTCTCACTGTCCTCCTGTCTCTCTCCCTCTACACTCCCCTCTCTCTCACTGTCCTCCTGTCTCTCTCCCTCTACACTCCCCTCTCTCTCACTCTCTTCCTGTCTCTCCCCACCTCTACACTCCCCTCTCTCTCACTGTCCTCCTGTCTCTCCCTCTACACTCCCCTCTCTCTCACTCTCTTCTTGTCTCTCTCCCTCTACACTCCCCTCTCTCTCACTCTCTCCCTGTCTCTCTCCCTCTACACTCCCCTCTCTCTCACGCTGTCCCTGTCTCTTGCTTCTCTTCTCTGTGTCTGTGTCGCTACCTCCCTGTCTCTTGTCCTTTTACCCATATCTCTCTCTGTTGTCTCCCTGTCTCTCTGTCTCCCTGTCTCTCTGTCTCCCTGTCTCCCTGTCCGTCTCCCTGTCTCGCCCTCCTTGTCTGCGTCTCCCTTAATACTTTTCTGTTTCTCCCTGTCTGTTTTCATCTGTCTCCATTTTTGTGTCTGTGTGTCTCCATGCGTGTCTTCGTCTTCATGCGTGTGTCCACGTATGTCTGTGTGTATCTCCATGCGTGTGGCTTCGTCTCCATGCGTGTGTCCACGTATGTCTCTGAGTCTGCGTGTGTCTCCATGCATGTGTATCTGTCTTTGTCTCTGTATGCGTGTCTCCGTTTGTGTATCTCAATGCTTGTGTGCGAGGCAGTGATGTTGCGTTTAGTGCGCTGTGCGACAAACCCGGTGATCCTGGGTTCCATTCCCACTCACGGTCGACACCAGCGATGAGTAATAATAATTTACATTTATTTGTAAGGTGCCTACCACTATCTGAACCGGTCCTGGGCCTCCTCCCCTAGGTCAGCTCAGCCTGAAATGAGTACCTGGTGCGGTGTGTAAACTCATCGCAACTGGGGAGACAAAGGCGGTCAGGCGTGGTGCTGGCCACCCACCCCCTCGTGTGCTGTACTGGCCTTCATAGGTGCTCGCTCACAGCTCCACAAATCTGTTAAGGCTATACGGGGAATCTGTGTGTGTGTGTGTGCGCGCGTCTGAATGTGCGAGCGTGTGGGTGTCTCAATGCGTGTGTTCCCATGTGTGCGTGCGTGCGTGTCTCAATGCGTGTGTTCCCCATGTGCGCGTGTGTGTCTCAATGTGCGTGCGTGTCTCAATGCGTGTGTTCCCATGTGTGCGTGCGTGCGTGTCTCAATGCGCGTGCACACGCGTCTCAATGCGTGTGTTCCCATGTGTGCGTGCGTGTCTCAATGCGCGTGCACACACGTCTCAATGCGTGTGTTCCCATGTGTGCGTGCGTGTCTCAATGTGCGTGCGTGTCTCAATGCGTGTGTTCCCATGTGTGCGTGCGTGCGTGTCTCAATGTGCGTGCACACGCCTCTCAATGCGTGTGTTCCCCATGTGCGCATGCGTGCGTGTCTCAATGCGTGTGTCCCCCATGTGCGCGTGCGTGCGTGTCTCAATGCGTGTGTTCCCCATGTGCGCGTGCGTGCGTGTCTCAATGCGTGTGTTCCCCATGTGCGCGTGCGTGTCTCAATGTGCGTGCGTGCGTGTCTCAATGCGTGTGTTCCCCATGTGCGCGTGCGTGCGTGTCTCAATGCGTGTGTTCCCCATGTGCGCGTGTGTGTCTCAATGTGCGTGCGTGTCTCAATGCGTGTGTCCCCATGTGTGCGTGCGTGCGTGTCTCAATGCGTGTGTTCCCCATGTGCGCGTGCGTGCGTGTCTCAATGCGTGTGTTCCCCATGTGCGCGTGTGTGTCTCAATGTGCGTGCGTGTCTCAATGCGTGTGTCCCCATGTGCGCGTGCGTGCGTGTCTCAATGCGTGTGTTCCCCATGTGCGCGTGTGTGTCTCAATGTGCGTGCGTGTCTCAATGCGTGTGTTCCCATGTGTGCGTGCGTGTGTGTCTCAATGTGCGTGCGTGTCTCAATGCGTGTGTTCCCATGTGTGCGTGCGTGTGTGTCTCAATGTGCGTGCGTGTCTCAATGCGTGTGTTCCCATGTGTGCGTGCGTGTGTGTCTCAATGTGCGTGCGTGTCTCAATGCGTGTGTCCCCATGTGCGCGTGCGTAGGTGTTCCGAGCGCGCACGCCGCAGGACGCGGTGGCGCTGTGCAGCCGCCTGCTGGAGTACACGCCCTCGTCGCGCCTCTCGCCGCTCGAGGCGTGCGCCCACGCCTTCTTCGACGAGCTGCGCGACCCCACCATGCGCCTGCCCAGCTCCCGCGAGCTCCCGGCGCTCTTCAACTTCACCCCGCATGGTGAGCACGCAGACGCACGGCCATCCCCCTTGCCTAGCCTGCCGGTGCATGCGCCGTTGGCGAGTAGCACCCACCACGACCGGCACGGTGGGTGGCCAGCAGCGCGCCCGGCCGCCTTTGTCTCCCCCAATGCCGATGTTAACGCACCGCACCAGGCACTCGTTTTACTTGTCTCCATCTAAAATAGATTCATATCGCGCCTTATTCCAAGGCGCTTGACAACAATTATAAAATTGTACATAAGATGATAGTGGTTGAAATAAAGAGTGGGGTTAAAAGTGGTGGTGTAGTTATGGTGGCAGTTGGGAGAAAGGGTGGGAGAGTTTAAGGAGAGTTTCAAGGGGCTAGTGCTAGGGGGTAGTGGTAGTGCTAGGGGGTAGTGGTAGTGCTAGGGGGTAGTGGTGGTGCTAGGGGGTTGTGGTAGTGGTAGTGCTTGGGGGTAGTGGTAGTGGTAGTGCTAGGGGGTAGGGGTAGTGGTAGTACTAGGGGGTAGTGGTGGTGCTAGGGGGTTGTGGTAGTGGTAGTGCTAGGGGGTAGTGGTGGTGCTAGGGGGTAGTGCTAGTGGTGGTGCTAGGGGGTAGTGCTAGGGGTAGTGCTAGGGGGTAGGGGTAGTGCTAGGGGGTAGTGGTAGTGCTAAGGGGTAGTGCTAGGGGGTAGTGGTAGTGCTAGGGGGTAGTGCTAGTGGTGGTGCTAGGGGGTAGTGCTAGGGGGTAGTGGTGGTGCTAGGGGGTAGTGGTGGATCTAGGGGGTAGTGGTGGTGCTAGGGGGTAGTGGTGGTGCTAGGGGGTAGTGGTGGTGCTAGGGGGTAGTGGTGGTGCTAGGGGGTAGTGGTGGTGCTAGGGCAGGGGTCGGGAACCTTTTTGACTAAGAGAGCCATGAAAGCAAAAAATTTGGAAATTTATTTCAGTGAGAGCCATATAATATATTTTAAAAGTGAATTCAACTAAATGTCAGTATAATAAGCCTCTGAATTTATTCTTTTAAATAATGTTGTTATAACACTCACCATTAATGCGACTTCTGGTGCTGCATGGATTTGCTGATGTCTTTGTAGTCGGGTTGGTACTTGGTGAGGTTAAGCTTCATGCAAGCGTTGAGGCTTTCATCCGTTAAACGTGATCGTAGGTTGGACTTGATGTTTTTAAGATGTGAGAATGACTGCTCACATGCATACGTAGATCCAAACATGGTCAATACAGCAATACTCACACGCTGCAGTGTGTGGTATGTGACAGGAAGCGCGTTCCAAGTTTTGAGAATCAGCTGGTCTTCGGGTTGGAGTTTTTTCATTTCTGTCCACATGTGCTTGCTCGCCAACTCCGCTTTCTGTCGTGTGATTCTTTCCAAATCTTCATTCAGTGACTTGAACTTATTCACCCACATGTCTGAGGCCTTCAGGTCAGCCACTTCTGCTTCAAAATCTCTGACGGAGACACCAGGGATGTAATTCAGGTCGGCTGTGTTCAGTGAACACTCGTTTGGATGGGTGATGAACTTAAAAAGACGAGTGTGCTCACGAAATTCTCCAAAGCGTGCTTTGAAGGACTGTAGGAGACTGGATGTGCAGCCAGCTAGCTGGTGGAGATCAAGGTTTTGAATGGGCTCACTTGCTGTGCATGCATCTTTAAATTGGCTCAGTTTTTCAAAATGTAGTAAACGAAATTTCGATTTAAAGCTTTCGTGACTGCAATGATTCATCTTCTTTGGTTCTTTCGGTAAAGTCACGTAGAATGAGAATAAAATAATAAATTGATCAAATAAAATAACACAATAATATTCTCACGACGTTTCGGCCACAACACAAGCGGCCTTCATCAGGTGAAGGGGGCGAGACTGTCTGGTAGGACAGCGCTGTCCTACCAGACAGTCTCGCCCCCTTCACCTGATGAAGGCCGCTTGTGTTGTGGCCGAAACGTCGTGAGAATATTATTGTGTTATTTTATTTGATCAATTTATTATTTTATTCTCATTCTACGTGACTTTACCGAAAGAACCAAAGAAGATGTAGTAAACGACCTGTTTCAAGATCCGTGATGAAAAGCTCCAGCTTGTTTTCAAAAGCAAATACAGCTTGTTGAAGGGATAACACTGTATTTCCAATGCCTTGCATTTTCACGTTGAGCTGGTTCAGATGTTCAGTCAGATCTACGAGATAGTAAAACTTGAGGAGCCACTCGGTGTCGGCTAGCTCAGGATGCCCGACGCCTTTCATTTCAAGGAAAGTCCGGATTTCGTTCAGGCAAGCCGCAAAACGGCTAAGCACCTTCCCTCTTGACAACCAACGCACATTGCTGTGCAAAAGCAGACCAGGATAGTTATTTACAACTTCATCCAGCAGTGTTTTAAACTGGCGATCATTTAAGGCTCGGGCAACAATAAAGTTGATCACACGAATGACCAGCGACATCACTTCGCCAAACTGCCTGTCACACATCTGAGCACAAAGTGCCTCCTGGTGTATAATGCAATGGAAACTTAGGATGGGTCTATTTTCATGTTCACGGAGAAGCGCCACAAATCCTTTGTTTTTCCCCACCATACACGGAGCACCATCAGTACACACTGAGAGAAGTTTATCCATAGGTAGACTTTTTTCTTGAGCAAACTCCATGAAAGACTTGAATAAATCCTCACCTCTTGTGGACCCTTTTAATGGCAGAACAGCAAGACTTTCTTCGCGCAGTGTGTCACCAACAGCATATCTTGCAATCACGCTGAACTGCGACAAATGGCTCACGTCTGTTGACTCATCCAAAGCCAGAGAAAAGAACGGCGCTGCATTTATGTCCTTCACTTGCGTTTCCTCCACTTTGTTTGCCATCACGATGGTACGATCATGAACAGTTCTTGCCGACAGAGGCATGTCTTGTATCCGTTTGATTATCTTGTCTTTGTTCGGAAGATCATCAAAAAGTTCATTGGCTACATCCAGCATGAACGTTTTAGCATACTCGCCATCTGTGAATGGTTTTCCGTTCCTCACTATTGCTAGAGAACCAGCTAAGCTAGCCGAAATATAGTCACCTTGCCGGGTCCATACGCGGAGTTGCTGCTGGCTAGCTTGCACCCTGCTCAGAAGCTCTTGGCACGCTTTCTTTCTGCTGTCTCCCGCAGGGTATTTTGATGCAAAGGTAGCGTGGCGCGTGTCGAAGTGCCGCTTTACATTCGACCGTTTCAACGATGTAATTTTGTCATTGCAAATTAGACACACCGCAGAACCCGCTCTCTCCACAAAGGCGAATTCTTCGGTCCATTCGTCCTGAAATGTACGATACTCGTCGTCTTTTTTTCTTTTCGCCATCTTCTTCGTCGAAGGGTTAGCTTTGAGCTAATGACCGAGCAGACGCAGTCTCAGACTGATTCAAAAGGGGGCGTTTACCTGTTTTACCCAGCAACGGCAAACGTAGGCCAGTATCATCCAATTAAAATAATGGACAATTGCTCCTGCAGCCCTGAACAGGACATGCGCAGTGAAAAATCGATGGATGGATTAAAACAAGTGAGAATATTTTGTTTTATCTGCGAGCCATATGCAATCATCAAAAGAGCCACATCTGGCTCGCGAGCCATAGGTTCCCGACCCCTGTGCTAGGGGGTAGGGGTAGTGCGAGGGGGTAGTGGTAGTGATAGGGGGTAGGGGTAGTGATAGGGGGTAGTGGTGGTGGTAGGGGGTAGTGGTAGTGCTAGGGGGTAGTGGTAGTGATAGGGGGTAGTGGTAGTGATAGGGGGTAGTGGTAGTGCTAAGGGATAGGGGTAGTGGTAAGTGATAGAGGTAGTGGTAAGAGTTAGGGTTAGTGATAGGGGTTGGGGTACTGATCGGGGGTAGTTGTCGGGGTAGTGGTAGGAGTTAGGGTAGTGGTAGGGTTTGGGGAGTGATAGTGGGTGGGGGTAGTGGTGTATGCCTGGTCGTATCTGGACGGCAGTGGCAGGGAGGAGAGCAGTCAGGTGGGGTAGGGAGACAGAGAGGGGTTCTAAGGCCGAGTGGACGTCGGAGAGACCCCGGATCGGCTCAGATGTTCCTTACCGCTTGTGGCCACGAGTGGAAGTCGGACTGGGTCACCGCGTTGCGTGGCGCGTTGCGCCAATCGCTGTTGATCGCGAGGGCCTGCGCGTGTCAAATGTTAAATTGTTGTTCATGTTGACACGGGTGTTGTTGTTGTTTGTATCAGAGCTGTCCATCAACCCGGCTCTCAACGCGACGCTGATCCCTCCCCACGCCCGCTGCCAGGCCGTCCCCACAGCTGCCGCTTCCGGTAACAAACACAAACAAACAAACACCCCCCTCACAAACAAACACCCCCTCACAAACAAACACCCCCTCACAAACAAACACCCCCTCACAAACACACAAACACCCCCTCACAAACAAACACCCCCTCACAAACAAACACACCCCTCACAAACAAACACCCCTCACAAACACACAAACACCCCCTCACAAACATACAAACACCCCCTCACAAACAAACACCCCCTCACAAACAAACAAACACCCCCTCACAAACAAACACCCCTCACAAACACCCCCTCACAAACAAGCAAACAGCCCTCTCAGAAACACCCCCCTCACAAACAAACAAACACCCCCTCACAAACACCCCCCTCACAAACAAACACCCCCTCACAAACACCCCCTCACAAACAAACACCCCCTCACAAACACCCCCTCACAAACAAACACCCCCTCACAAACAAACACCCCCCTCACAAACACCCCCTCACAAACACCCCTTCACAAACAAACACCCCCTCACAAACAAACACCCCCTCACAAAAAAACACCCCCTCACAAACAGCCCCTCACAAACAAACAAACACCCCACGATCTTGGGACATCTCTTCGCAGCTCTGATTTCCATTTGTATTTCAAAGTTGTATTCGTGTGCGATTGTGTGTGTGAGTGTGGAGCGGTTAGCGCGCTGCGCTGTGAACCCAGCGACCAGAGTTCGATTCCCGCTTATGGCCTCCAAAAATTTTAACGAATAATTATCTGAACCGGTCCTTGGCCTCCCCTAGATCGACTCGGCCTGAAATTAGTACCTGGTGCGGTGTGTAAACATCGGCACCGGGGAGACAAAGGCGGCCGGGCGTGGTGCTGGCCACCCACCCCCTCGTGCCGGCCCTTCACAGGTGCTGCTCGCAAACAGCACTTGCCCTGAAAAGTGTGTGAAGGGTATATGGGAGGGGGGCATCTCTGTCTTTGGGGGTCATTACCTTTGACCCGAGTGTCTCTGTGGTGTTACTACAAAAGCAACTGCGTTACGGGACAAATAGAAAGACGCTGCGCATATTTTTGTTTGTCCGTATCGTACGTGGATACTGTGGCCTGTCTGTTTACGTGTACGCCTTGATGCGCGCTTGTATTGATAAAGCCGTGTCTGTGCGTGTGTACCCCTGCACCACCCCCATCCCTTTACGTCCTCTCTCCATCGCTCTCCATCGCTCTCCTCTCCCCTCGCCTCGTGTGACATTGCGAACCCTCTCCCTGCTTCTCATCCTTTCTCTTCCTGTTCCATCCCCATCCTCCCTGCAACATCGCCTCCCTCAATCTACCCCTCCTGCCTCACCAACATCTCTCAATCACCTCCTCCTGCCTCACCAACATCTCTCAATCTCCACCTCCTGCCTCACCAACATTTCTCAATCTCCTCTTCCTGCCTCACCAACATCTCTCAATCTCCTCTTCCTGCCTCACCAACATCTCTCAATCTCCTCCTACCTCACCAACATCTCTCAATCTCCTCCTGCCTCACCAACATCTCTCAATCTCCTCCTCCTACCTCACCAACATCTCTCAATCTCCACCTCCTGCCTCACCAACATCTCTCAATCTCCTCCTGCCTCACCAACATCTCTCAATCTCCACCTCCTGCCTCACCAACATCTCTCAATCTCCTCCTCCTGCCTCACCAACATCTCTCAATCTCCTCCTGCCTCACCAACATCTCTCAATCTACCCCTCCTGCCTCACCAACATCTCTCAATCTCCTCCTCCTGCCTCACCAACATCTCTCAATCTCCTCTTCCTGCCTCACCAACATCTCTCAATCTCCTCCTACCTCACCAACATCTCTCAATCTCCTCTTCCTGCCTCACCAACATCTCTCAATCTCCTCCTACCTCACCAACATCTCTCAATCTCCTCCTGCCTCACCAACATCTCTCAATCTCCTCCTACCTCACCAACATCTCTCAATCTCCTCCTCCTACCTCACCAACATCTCTCAATCTCCACCTCCTGCCTCACCAACATCTCTCAATCTCCTCCTGCCTCACCAACATCTCTCAATCTCCACCTCCTGCCTCACCAACATCTCTCAATCTCCTCCTCTTGCCTCACCAACATCTCTCAATCTCCTCTTCCTGCCTCACCAACATCTCTCAATCTCCTCCTGCCTCACCAACATCTCTCAATCACCTCCTCCTGCCTCACCAACATCTCTCAATCTCCTCCTGCCTCACCAACATCTCTCAATCTCCACCTCCTGCCTCACCAACATCTCTCAATCTCCTCCTGCCTCACCAACATCTCTCAATCTCCTCTTCCTGCCTCACCAACATCTCTCAATCTCCTCCTGCCTCACCAACATCTCTCAATCTCCTCCTGCCTCACCAACATCTCTCAATCTCCTCCTGCCTCACCAACATCTCTCAATCTCCTCCTGCCTCACCAACATCTCTCAATCTCCTCCTCCTGCCTCACCAACATCTCTCAATCTCCTCCTGCCTCACCAACACCTCTCAATCTCCTCCTGCCTCACCAACATCTCTCAATCTCCTCCTCCTGCCTCACCAACATCTCTCAATCTCCTCCTCCTGCCTCACCAACATCTCTCAATCTCCTCCTACCTCACCAACATCTCTCAATCTCCTCCTGCCTCACCAACATCTCTCAATCTCCTCCTGCCTCACCAACATCTCTCAATCTCCTCCTGCCTTACCAACACCTCTCAATCTCCTCTTCCTGCCTCGCCAACATCTCTCAATCTCCTCCTCCTGCCTCACCAACATCTCTCAATCTCCTCCTCCTGTCTCACCAACATCTCTCAATCTCCTCCTGCCTCACCAACATCTCTAAATCTCCTCCTACCTCACCAACATCTCTCAATCTCCTCCTGCCTCACCAACATCTCTCAATCTCCACCTCCTGCCTCACCAACATCTCTCAATCTCCTCCTGCCTCACCAACACCTCTCAATCTCCTCCTGCCTCACCAACATCTCTCAATCTCCTCCTGCCTCACCAACATCTCTCAATCTCCTCCTGCCTCACCAACACCTCTCAATCTCCTCCTACCTCACCAACATCTCTCAATCTCCTCCTGCCTCACCAACATCTCTCAATCTCCTCCTGCCTCACCAACATCTCTCAATCTCCACCTCCTGCCTAACCAACATCTCTCAATCTCCACCTCCTGCCTCACCAACATCTCTCAATCTCCTCCTACCTCACCAACATCTCTCAATCTCCTCCTCCTCCCTCACCAACATCTCTCAATCTCCTCCTACCTCACCAACATCTCTCAATCTTCTCCTCCTGCCTCACCAACATCTCTCAATCTCCACCTCCTGCCTCACCAACATCTCTCAATCTCCTCCTCCTGCCTCACCAACATCTCTCAATCTCCTCCTCCTACCTCACCAACATCTCTCAATCTCCTCCTGCCTCACCAACATCTCTCAATCTCCTCCTCCTACCTCACCAACATCTCTCAATCTCCTCCTGCCTCACCAACATCTCTCAATCTCCTCCTCCTGCCTCACCAACATCCCCCCTCCACCCTGGCTCTCGCTGTCCCCCGTTCTCCGCTCTGTCCCCTCCACCCACAGAAAGCAGTGCAGTCGGAGCCAGCAGCCAAGCGAGTACTGGAGGCGCAGCAGCCTCTCTCCCCAATGCTTCCTGAGCACACACGCACACACACGCACACACACGCACACACACGCGCACACACGCAGCGCACGTGTACGCACAAAGACACGCACACACGCAGCACACGTGTACGCACTCAAACCCAGCCCTTAACCAATCCCTCCGTATTGCTCGGTCCGTTCAATGTCGTAGCGTGAAGGGGTGGTGGGGGTGGGGTTGTGTGGGAGTCGACGATTAGCCGGGCGGTGGGTGGAGGTGGAGCCCGGGGGGTGGTGGTGAGGAGTGCGGGGGGGGGGGGCGGGTGCACGGCGCGAGGTGGGAGGTGTCGGCTTTGCGATATGCCGCCGCCGGCGTTTGCGAGCGCCTCTTATTGTCCATCGCCGCCCTCCGCTCGCACACCGCTCCTCCTTCCCATGCTCACGCTCGCACACACGCGCACACACCTGGAATGCCCCGCTCCCTCCCCCTGTGAGAGTGCGTGCGAGCGAGCCGGCGGTGCGGTCGTCATTTAAAGGCAGCGGTGTGGGTGGGTGGGGGGGGGGGGGGGGCGTTGTCACGCGTAGTCGGTCGGAGTGAGACGAGCGCTTTGCTTACCACCACTTGTTAACCCAACAGCGGTGAGCAAAGTTTTATTGGCGGCGGCGTTGTCCTTGTCTATGATATTAATTATCGTTGCCGTTATTAATTATATTTTACCGTTATTATTTCCTCCCCCGCCCGTTGTTCCGTGCGAGACACAAAAACGAAAGAGCAAAAAGGTGCACAGATGAATCTCGGCTCCCCGGGGAGGAGGAGGAGGGAGGGAGACGGAGGGTTCCCTGCGTTCGGCCGTCGCGCTCAGCGCCGCGCGACGGCAGCAACGGAGCGGCGAGTCGCGTGCGTGCGTGCGGGTGGGTGGGTGGGTGCGTGCGTGTGGGTGCGTGCGTGTGGGTGGGTGCGTACGTGTGGTGGGTGGGTGCGTGCGTGTGTGTGGGTGGGTGCGTGCGGGTGCGTGCGTGTGCGTGCGTGTGGGTGCGTGCATGTGGGTGCGTGCGGGTGGATGCGTGTGGGTGCGTGTGGGTGGGTGCGTGTCGGTGCGTGTGCGTGTGTGCGTGTGGGAGCGTGCGTTGGGGTCTGACGATGTGCGTCTGTGTGGCGGGCGGACAGGACGGAGGGGAGGGTGGGAAGCAGGCCGTGTCCATGTATTGGGGTACGTAACTTTCAAGGTGCGTGTCGGAGTGTGTGTGTCAGTGTGTGTGTCAGCCTGCGTGTGTTTGCAATCGGTCTCTGTGTACCGGAGTATGACTGTTCCGTGTTTGTGTCACTTTCAAGGTGTGTCGGATGTGTGTGTGTGTGTGCGCGCGCGGGGAGCGGTGAGTGTGTTCATGTCACCGTGATGGAGTTCGTGTTGGTCCGTGTGTCTCGGGGTATTGGTGTCTTCAAGTTGCATCGGTGTGTGTGTGTGGAGCGGTGGTGCAGTGGTTCGCGCTACGAACCCGGCGACCCGAGTTCGATCCCCGGCCACAGCCAGTGGGCGAGTGTTATCTCAACCGGCCTCGATGTTTAAAACCTATCGGCACTAGGGAGACAAAGGCTGCCTGCCGGGTGTGGTGCTGGCCATACCACCCAGTCGTGCCCTGTGCCGGCCTTAATAGCTGCTTGCTAACAGCACTTGCCTCAACAGCCGGTGTAGGCTGCACAGGGGATCTTTGTATTTGTTAAGAGAGCATGTATCTGCACGTGTGTGTGGTAAGAATGTGATTGATGGAGTGTGTATCCGTGTTGGATCATGTGTGTCAGCACGTGTATATCACGGTGGGTGTGTGTGTATCTGTGTGTGTGTATCTGGGTGTGTGCGCGTGTGTGTTGAGGTTTCGGTGTTAGTCCACTTAACTGCAGCCACGCTGCCACGCGAGAGGTTTAAACCGTTGCACGTATGTCGCTCTTTACAGAGACGACAAAACACGCGCACGAACGCAACGCGCACGTACAAACACGCACGTACACGCACGTACACACACGCACGTACAAAATATATTTAAAGCTACCCCACGTACACGCAGACTGGGTGCTATCCGGTAAAAACCCCACTACGAGTTCCATTCACCCGGACACCGTGGATGAGTTTAACAGGCCTTGGGCGGTGTGGGCAGGGCGGCGTGGGCAGGGATGTGTGGGCAGGGATGTGTGGGCAGGGTGGTTGGATCGGCGTGGGGGGGGGGGGGCGTCGATGTGCTCAGCTGTGCCCATGGGCGCCAGGCACGATCCCAGCGTTCCTTTCTGATTTTTAACCGGGGGTCAGACGGTGCGCTGTGTGGGTCGAGTGGGTGGGTGGGAGACGTTCCGGGCGGACGACGAGACGCCGCCCTTTCCTCTCCCCACCAGTAGAAGCCGCCGCCGCCGCCGCCGTGTCTCCGTTAGTGTCTCTTTGTTTTTAAATTTCAGGTCTCGTCAAAATATGTTTTGGCGGCGCGTGAAACGGGGGGGGGGGGGGGGGCGGGGAAGGGGGCTGTTAAAAAACGATCGCAGTTAGAAGGAAGGGATGCACGTCAAAAGCTATCGCTCGCACACACACGCAGACACGCAGACACACACACAGGGCCTGCCCCTCACCTCGCAGTCCGTTTTAGTTTGTACAGGTTTTAGTAGTATTATTATTGGTATTATTATTATTGCTTTTATAATCTGTAAGTTTGAGGGACTTAGAGAGTTAAAGTAAGTATACAATTTACGAATGTGTGTGTGTACGTGCGTGTATTTGTGTTGTGTGTGTGTATATGAATACTGTCGTGTGTGCTTATTCTGTATATGACTTGTGTGTGCGCGTGCGTGCGTCTGTGTGTATATGAATAGGCTGTGTGTACAAGTGTATGAGTTAAGCATTAGGCCTGTGTGTGTGAATGCATACGTATGAATGTGGATATGGTAGCGTCCTATTAAGAAATACGTTTGTAATTTACAGCACGTGGAAGCTTATGTAAAACGTGTGTGCGTGTGGGGATGTTAATGTGAACGCATGAGCAAACCGCGGAGAAGTATGGTCAAATTATTCCCATCACGACGACCTGCACGGCTCTCGGATGGCGGGGGGGGGGGGGGGGGGGGCTTCATCCAGCAGTGGATCGGTTCGAGGGACGCACGCGTGTGAACTCGTACGCTTCAAGTAATGAACGCGACGTGTACGGAATGGGCGTGCGTGGCATTGCGCGTTCGCGTTGGTCAAGGTTCGGCCACTGCTGGCGGACGACGCCTCCGCTGGACAGCTCGGCAAGCGAGAGGGTCCCCCCCCCCCCTTCCTAGAGGGGAATTATTTCTCCTGTTCTGTCATGCTGGCCAGCGACGTCTTGGAAGAGGTGGAAGTTGCCCACATTTGACCCCACCGCACCAAAGACCCTGCGGATCGATTGGACGCAGTGAGTGTGCCCGCGTGCGTGCGTGCCGTCCCCTCGGTCGACTTGGCCTTGTAAACGACACGAGTACCCGGTGTTGCGTAACAATAAAAGGCAAACCCATCGTAGCCGGGGGAGACAAAGGCGGCCGGGGCGGGGCGCCGGCCACAACCGCACCCCCACCACCCCCTCGTTGGGACGCCGCTGCGGCCTTGGAAGGGTGGCGCTCGCTCGCGGCACGCGGGGGGGGGGGGGGGGGGCGGCTGTCGCATCGCGGGCGGGCACGGTGGAGCGGTGCGAGGTGGCCGTGGTGCGTGTGTGCGTGTGTGCGCGTGGTCTGTGTGACTGGGCTAGGATGTACGTGCATGTGAGTCAAAAGTTACCCCCTGACCTTCGTCCCCCACGCGAGCATTTAAGGAAAAGTACATTAATTCCAATCAACTCCCACCTTCTCGGTTCAAACGCAGGTGTCGCACACACGACACTTTGTTGTACATAAATTCTGTATGTGCAAGCTTCAATTTTTGTAGTTATAAGTTTTATTTCTTCACGTGTTTGGCTGTCAGCTGCTATTAATCCATTTCTCCGTAACTCTTAATATATCTTCTTGAAAGCCCCTGCCCCTTCCCCTGTACATTCTTTTAAAGTTACGAGCGCTTCCCGGCGTAGAGGGGTTCCGCGCTCGTGCTCCGATTGTCCCGACGTTTCGCGCCGCTCCGCCGCGAGGGAGAGGGCTGCCGCGTCTCCGTGGGCGGCCAACGACGACGATGACGACGACGAGTATCGGCTTCGTCGGCCGCCTTTGAACGCCGGTACCGGCGGCGGCAGCAGCAGGCGCCGGGCAACTCGACATTTTAGTTCCTGACGAAGGCTTCCGGCCGCGTGGTGCGAAACGTCGGACGTCGTGCCGAACCGGGGCGCGTGCGCGCGCGGCACGATGCGGAGGGCGCATTGGGAGAGGGTCGAGTGACTCCGGTTTGTTTGGGTTCGGAGACTGTTTGGAGCTTCCTAGACCTCAGTTGGGTAATGGCACACAGTCGCGCGATGTGGAACAAGACCCAGACCGGTTTAGTTCACCGGGCAGTTGGTGTTGCCAATTTGAAACCACAGCGGTGGGGGTGGTGGTGGTGGTGGTGGTGGCGATGGCTCAGAAAGTCGAGAGCGTTGAGCCGGCATCGCCGATGTAGGGCCTGGGTTCGAACCCAGGTTCCGGCCACCCGTGATTGAAACCGGGTTCTCGAGCGGAGCGAGTCGATGGTCTCAGCCCGGTCGCCGATGACTGCACAATAAAACCCCGTCACATTACATTTGGTACTGCCCTTAATTCGGCAAAATTCCAGTTGCGAGAATTAAAACATCGGATTCACGCACTGTCGCGGGACGAACCGTGACTCGGCTGGCGGAGCGTGCCGGGAACGCTGGCGACTTGGCGTGGTGGACCAGAGCGGCCACTTGAACAAGAAGAAGGGCTCTCCGAGGTAGCTCGCTGATATCCACTTGCGCGGGCCGTTCTCCAACAGGAAGGGGGGCTACACACTGCTCGGCGAGATTTCTTCATGGCTCCTCGTCCCGTGACGCCGGTCGCGCAATTGCGACTCTCGGAAGAGGAATATTTATCCTGTAGGAATTGGATGAGCTTACCAAGGCTCTTTCGCAGATGCCCAGTCGGACATCTCGAGGGACGACACCGCTGGCCGTGCTGGGTGCCGAGGATGCGGCATCGCCCTCCTCCCCGACGGACCCACCCAGACGCCTACCGAACACCGACATCAATTCTCTTTTAAAAAGCGGCAATCCTGCGCGTAATTGGGTCCCGGCCGTGCCGGCAAATCGTCGTCCTCGTCTCAAGGCGACGAGGAGGGGGGGGTCGGCGAGGGCCTCGCCACGTCGGGGACGGAGCCCCGGAGCGTGACGTGCGTGCCTCGTCGCGAGGCCGCGGCAGCGCCGCCGCCGCCGCCGCCGCCGCCGCTTCGGTTCCATCTCCCCCGGCGCGCGGCAGTCGACAGCAGCGGTGCGCGAGTTGCTCGATCTGCCCCTGCCCCCTTTGGTCACCCGGCGATCTCTAACCCGCGATCTGACGCTCACTAAAACACACACGTCACGGATCATACTGGTCGCGAAAGCCTTCGGGCGTAATCTATCTAGATTTGAAGTTTTTTTGTGACTGCGGGGATCCATACTCTTTGGTTCTTTCGGTAAAGTCACGTAGTAGGTTTAAAATAAATCACGACGTTTGGGGCGCAACACAAGCGTCCGTCATCAGGTGGAACAACCACAGTAAGAAACAAACTGCTGAAGTGGGTAGAAGGACTCCCGTAATACCAGGTTATCTAGGTAG